CCAGCCAAGGATGTAAACAGTGACCTAATGGAATGAGCTGTAATACATCAGGGCACAAGGTTTGCACTCTGAGGCATAGGCCGCAGAAATAGCCATGCCGATCCATCGGGCTATGGAGGAGTTGGATGCAGTTTGTTCTGCTAGCATCATTAACCAGGATGAAAAGGACATTGGATTTCCTGATGTGTAGTATGCTTGATACATTTGAGAATACATCTACGAGCGTGAAGCAAGATGATTGCTGCTTCTTATGGAGTCAAAGTGTTCTGGCAAAAAGGATTGTAAACTACCTTGTGGGATCTGTGGTATTTAGGGACCACCTTGGGGAAGAAAGCAGGGACCATTTTGAGAAGGACTTTGACCAGTAGCAGTATAAGAAAAGGTTCTTTCACTTGAGACTTGGGATACTCCTCATGCTGACACGAGGGCAACTAGAAAAGCCAATTTAATTGTCAGGTGCTTAGAGGATGGTTCGAATGGGCACTTTGTCAAGCAGTAGGACTAAAGATACCAAAGCTGGTTGAGAAAGCTGGTTGGACAACCAGTGACAGGTCTTCAAGAAAAATACAGCAAGTCCAGTTGCCTTATTGCCTTACTTATTTTTTACAGATATACCATGACTTGGATGAATGAGAACCTTCACAGACATAAAGATACCAAAGGGTAACCAATACACTTCTAAGAGGCTTGATAGACTGCATTGCTTTGAAGAATATATTTATCAAAGTGTCTGTAATCTGGGTTTTGTCAAGGTATATAAATAAAACCACCACCTCTACCATGAGGGTACTGATGGAAAGATTTCTGAGCCAATACATTCAGTCCCAGTGATTCCCATGTGGACACAGAGAAGGGGGAGATAAAGTGAGTAATAAATCACTAATATCTGGTTGTTACAGTTCCCTACCTTTTGCTCATGAACCTTGTCCATTTAGTCACTTGATAACCTCTTCAATGGAAAAACAACCCAACCAAGTTAAAATTTAGCAATTTCAAGTGCATGCACACTAACTAGGGTCTTACACAACTGTAAAACCAATAGACCAAATATAAAATATTTACTTTGTCTATGGCAACATACCACTTTGAGAAAAAAAAAAGTAGCAAGAGGAGTAAAATATGCAATAGTAGTAAATGAAGGGCCATTAGCGAGCTTTCAATGCCATATGCTCTATGCCAGGGGTAGGCAACGTTGGCACACCAGCTGTTGTGGAACTACAATTCCCAAGAGGCATTGCAAGACTGACCGCCACATATGACTCCCAAAGGAAGCAGCATGATGGGATTTGTAGTTTCATCAGGCTGGAGTGCTGTGGTTGCCTACCCCGTTCTATGCAATAACAGTACATTATTGCAAGTATATAACTAGTAACTCACCTAAAACAGAGAGAGCAATTCCTTTTACATATTACCATTATAAAAATACAGCTGTAATCTTCCCTTTACCACATCAGAAAACGTGCTTTTCCTGCAGGAGAAAATACATAGTCCCACACAGCTTATTTACACCTTGAGGTGTAATGAGGTGCACTAAACTCCTGCAAACTGGCTTTTTCATAGTTAAATGGGGCCCTTGAAAACCAGTATGCAAACCATCAGAAAACAAACAAATAAACACAACATTGGAAAGTACAGGAATACTACTTCTCATTAGTGCCTCCTGTGCATCCAATCTGACAGCCGTCCTCTGATGTAATTCCAATCACAACAAACAACTTCCCTGCTCCACAATGATCTTCTTTTGTCGCACCTGACAGCTTTCCGGCAGGATGTTAATTACCAACAAGCGTGTGGGTATGCCGAGTGACATCACTGACCTGATACAGTTATGACCATATTGTACACAGTGGCAGCAGTTATACCAATATAGGAATGAATTTCAGCTGCAGGTAGGTGGCCAAGCTGGCCACACCTGTCCATTTAAAGCGGTGCGATGCTTTAAGCACACAGTTCTGTGCGATTAACACACTGCATAACACACCTAACCGTGCATTGCACTGCCATTTATTCACCCTGCCTGCTGCAACACAATACCAAGTGCTCGCTATCAAAATACCGGAACTGATCCCTGAAGCAGATTGGCTGCTAGCTCCATTCTGCCTCGAATTTTCCTATTGGTCCCTTCGATCTGACGATCGAGGGATGCCAGCCAAAAGGTTGATGATAGAAGCACCAACTGTGCAAATTTCGGACTAAACTCGATATGCATCTACCCGTCTTTAGTTCACCTATTCAGTCAACTGCACACAAGCTGGATTTGGGTCGCATTCATGGTTGACCCAAATCCTAAGATCATCACTACAGTGGGATTGAAAAATAAATATTGCTGGAGTGTGGCTATCAGCACAGTCACTGCTTATTCCCAAGTCTGTAGCTTGTCAATCTGTCTCTGGCTACACCTAGACTTCCCCACTGCTTTCTGGATTGACAGTACGGCCTCTGTTGCTGAAACCTTCCCACTGGGAGTGAGAACATGGGAGACAAATAAAAGGAGGATTTGATTCAGTCACTTCCTGTATGTGAAAAGAACAAAGAATCATATGTGTCTAATCCCTTCATTCCACATGTCAGGGAGAAGTTTGCATCTGTCACCATTTAGTTCTACAGGGTCTTGGCTTTCAGGAAATATATCATTTTGGGGGGGTTAAGTAATTGTCAGGCCTAAAATGTGGAGTAGATCATGTGTGCAAAAAACAAAAAAGGCCTTGGCAGCGAAAGGGTCCTTAAGGGGTTATGTGGACAGGGACTGCTGACACTTTTAGTGCCCCCACATACAGGACACCAGGGCTGTCATATAATGGACAGGGACTGCTGATACTTGCAGTGCCCTCAAACACAGGACATCAGAACTGTCATATAATGATGATATGACTGTCCTGTGTGAGGGCACTACAAGTGTTAGCAGTCCCTGTCTATTAAATTGACAGGGACTGCCGACACTTGTAGTGCCCTCACACACCGTCAGCCCCAAATACACACAGCGGGACTCACTGGAGCTGCCAAGACCAGAGTCAGAGGCAAGGAGGAACATGCGGGCGAGGAGAAAGCCCCTGTCCAGGTGCCAGCTGAATTGACATTCATTTTAAAAGAAAAAAAAAATAAACCCAGCTTGCCGCAGTACAAAGCTCGGGACTGGATGGCCTAAAAATCATGTGGCGGGCCATTTCCGGCCTTGCAATTGACACATGCAATTTAAAGTTTCCCTCTTCTAGTAAGTTTTCCCTTCCCTAATCCACTGTTCATGAAGAACACATGACTTGGCTGTGGAACCAATAGAAGATGTGGACTCCGGATCTACAGGAAACATCACAGAACCAAAATGAGGTGACATCTGCCTGTCCAGAGGAACCACTAGAATAGATTTTCAGTTCCTGGTAATGCATACAGACACACAATTGTTTGTTCATCAGAAAACGATAAGCCGGGATAAGATTATGGCAGCAGCGTTTCCAAATACTAGATGTGTAAACAATACACACTGTGTACAGTACTGTGTCCCCAGCCCCCATCACACTGTGACCTCTAACCCCCATCTCCTCCCACCATTTAGAATGAAGCCTCCTGCAAACCTAGAACGATATATGTGCCATGCTCCCCGGACCTGACACATGGATAGAAAGCGACACTGTGCTGTTAGTATCGATTTACGGCTGGGAAATGAAAACACTGCCACCCACACAAATATACATCCTGTTCACGTTAACCAGATCCTGACCGGCACAGCCTATCCATAGGAACACGCATCTGTGGGCTCTCCGTGTATATATTCCCAGTGTAATGATGGACAATTTCCTGACAAACACCACATCAATGCAACCTGCTAGCATTTGTTTATAGTGGAATACCTAGAACCACTGGTGATCGGAAGCCATCATCTGCCTAAAACAGCCAATAGACCGCTGTGTGCACAAGGGTCACCATACACATTACAATCTGACAGTAGAATGTCTGTACAATCAACTTTAGATCTACCTAAACTATGCAATCAACCTGTATCCAATCAGGCAGGCCCTTGCACTGCATAGCTGTCGGTAGATCGATGTAGATTTATATTGTAATGTGTGTGGGGAGCTTAATGTCACCATATACACAATACGGCCATAGATTCACCAGACTACATAATGGGAGGATCTACCTAAACGATCCGATCTGTGTCTGATCAGACCGACCCTTGCACTACATCGTTGTCAGTAGATCTATGTATAGTCATATTGTAAGGTGTGTGGTGACCATACACAATACAATATCACCATAGATTCACCAGGCCATGTAATGGAAGCATCTTCCTAAACGATCCCATCTGTATCTGATCAGACAGACCCTTGCGCTACATCGTTGTCAGTAGATCTATGTATAGTCATATTGTAATGTGTGGTATGTGTGGTACTAACCATACACAATACGACCATAGAATTACCAAACCATGTGATGGGCGGAGCTACCTAAACGATCCGACGGACCCTTGCACTACATCGTTGTCGGTAGATCTATGGATAGTCATATTGTAAGGTGTGTGGTGACCATACACAATACGACTAGATTTACCAGACTATGTAATATGAGGATCTACCTAAACAATCTGATCTGTATCTGATCAGACACTTGCACTACGTTGTTGTCGGTAGATCTATGGATAGTCATATTGTAAGGTGTGTGGTGACCATATACAATATGACCATAGCCTCACCAGACTAGGTGATGGGAGGATCTAGCTCACGGATGCAATTAATTGGTATCTGATCAGACAGGTCCTTGCACTACAGGTAGACCTCCAGGAGATTGTAGGGTGAATGGGGAGCTCACACGAAGAATGGGCTAATGGGCTTTCTCTCAGATCATTACTCTGACCAGGGACAAACAATGGAAAGTGCCACAGAGAAAAGGCCAGCTCACCCACTCTGACTACATTCCCCCCAGGCAGCAAACAAAAGCCTCAGTCTTCCCACACCTCCCCCTCCCTCGTGCATTTCACCAAAGTCACCAAGCTGCCACAAACTCACCCAGAACACTATGTTGAAGCCGAACAAGAAATACTTGACACAGCAGCTGACTTCAGGTCCGTTGAAATGCTGGTGTTTGCCAGACATGGCTTGGATCCACACACCAGCAGGGGAGCAGCAATCCAGTCACACAGAGCGAGAGCAGAGGACGGCCGAGCTGCTGCGGGAAAGGGTACACGGTGGTACAGGAGGATGGGGAAGGTACGACGACACCCGCGACCCTAAGAAGGCTGGCATTGGGAAGCTGCAGGCCGGGCTATTGTTCCAGCGCTTCCTGGGGTCCCAGGCACGGGATAGCCATTTCTGCTGTGCAGCCTTGTCCTGCTCTATGCAGTGTTCAGTGCAACTCCTCCCTGCCAGGGGCGGTCCTGGGAGCGCCCTCCAGCGGCATCTTGTGGACATAATAAAGTATAACATCCTAGTACATTACATAGGGGTCCCCGGACTAGACTGTAGGAACTGCTGTCATGTCTGCTCGCAATTTCCATGTCTGTTCACAGGCATGGATCCTGACTGTCCCACCTCCTAATACACAGATCCCCCTGCCAAAACTGTCCTGCAAGGACAAACACTTTTATACACAGATCCCTCTGCCAAGCTTTCCTGCAAGGACAAGCACTGATATACACAATTCATTCTGCCAAACTTGCCTGCAAAGTTCTTTCTTTTTTTTGTAAGAGACAAACACTTTTAAACAAAGCAACCTGCCCATCATTCTTGCAAAGTTCAAAGGACAATTTTGTAAATACACTCATCCCCATACGTAGAGCCGACTTTGACGCTGCAGATGGCACATACCAGCTCTATTGATCGAGAACTGAGCGATCACATACAGTTCCCAATCATCTCCCTGCAAAAAGCAGCCAGTTACAGCTCCCTGCAGGAATTCTCTCCCCTCTGTTCCTCCAGCACTGACTGGGGGAGGGGGCAGGCACAGCTGGCTCTGCCTCTCGAGCGGCAGAGCCAGCTGTCAATCAGGCAGTGGGGTGGATCCAGACAGTATGGTCAGGATCTTTACCTCCTGCAGCATGGATATGCACTGTCCGCATATAGCAGGCAATAGCCCACTATATGCTGAGTTTTGGGTCACAGAAGGACATTTACTAATGACCTAAGGCCCAAAAAAAGTTTTGCCCTTAGTTCTCTTTTAACTCACGGTAAGAGTAGGCTGGGGGGGGGTCTGAAAGGGATTTGCCCCAAGGGCCAACACCTAGGCGTATCGAATATGCGCGTTTGTCGCGCGTTTTTACCGCAATTCACGGTAAAATAACCGCACAATAAACAAGCGTTTCCGAGGACTACCTGGCTGTATCCCAATAGATACGCGCAGCAAATACGCCACAAAGAAGCTCCTTTACTTCTTTGGGCGCAGGGCGTTTTGCAGCGCATTCATACGCGCTGTAAAACGCCCAGGTGAGAACCATGCCCATAGGCAATCATTGGTTTCCACATGTTGAGCGTTTTACAGAGCATAGGAACGCACTGTAAAACGCCCAGGTGTGAACCAGGCCTTAGACCTGCAGTCCGAGGGTCTGGTGGGAATGCATTTGTCCTTTGGGCCAACACAAATAATATGTGTTGGACTATTGGATCTGAGTGATGATAGTTCACCATTCAGACATCGATCAGCGCTCGCAGTCAGCAACACATGCTGGGCATTATATATGTTGCTCATTCAGACCTGCAGTTACAGAGTCTGGCAGGAATGCTCCATGGGCCAGTATTAATAAGATATGTTGCACTTGTGGCCCTCATTGAAGATACTTCACTATTCAGACATTGAACAGAGTGGAACTTGCAGTCAGCGACATACACTAGGCATTATAGATCTTCCCCATTCAGATCTGCAGTCTGAGAGACAGGAAGACATTTGGCCTCTGGGCCAACAGTAAAAAGATATGTTGGGCCAGTGGTCTGAGTAGCATTTAAACTAGGGATGCACCGATATATCGGCCGCCGAAACATATCGGCCGAAAATTCCACTTTTGGCATAATGCAGAAAGTGCCCTTTTCCTGCCGATACATCGGCGCATCTGTGCTTTCTTGCCTCCCCGCTGGATGTGGCTCTGTGTCCCAGCGGGGAGCAGAGAAACTGATAGCGGGGCGAGCGCTGTGAGCGGCCAGCGTCTCTCCTCCCACACCGCTCAGCCTCCTCTCACAGTCCGGCAGAGCGTTGTGGGGGGGCGGAGACAGGCCGTGCTGTCACAGGAGGCTGAGCTCTCCTCCCGCACCGCTCGCTCAGCCTCCTGTGACAGCGTGTCAGAGAGGAGAGCAAGGTACAAACACTCAGTGATCGCTGAGTGTTTGTAGATAATTGAGGACATGGTATGTGTACTATATCCTCAATTATGAATGAATGGGAGTGATCTACATCTCCTCCTGTTCATTCATAGTTGTAGTTATAGTAAACATACCATGTCCTCGTGTAAGTAATGAACAGGAACATTCAGAGGATTCCTGTTCATTGATAACAGGGGATACAGAAAAAGAGATTGAGGACTAGATGTCCTCAATCTCTTTTTCTATTTTAAAAGGGAAATATCAGGGGTCTGTTTAGACCCCTAACTTTTCTCCAAACCCCCTAAAAGTAAAGTAAAACATTTTAATTAAAAAAAAAAAAAAAAAAAATGTAAAAAAGGTTATTTCAAAAAATTCAAACATCGAGCAAAGTAAAACTTGCAATCAATGACACTCAATGGGCATTATACAGTATAGCTTCCCCATTCAGGTTCTAGCAGAGAAATATTGCAGCACCAAATATTTTTACATAGTTGGGTATATCTATATCTGACTGTCCAGTATTTCAGGAGCAGGGGGGTCAAAATACACAGGAAAACTGTCTGAGACTTTTTAAAAATCAAGAAGCAGTCTGATTTTTCCTAGTTAAGAACAACTCTGGGCATGTAAAAAAAACAAAAACAAAAAACTAAAACCCTTACAGTGGGGCTACCCCTACTGGACTGTTATTATTCCTGTGGATTCAAGAGTTTCCTATACCTCGGGAGAAAAGGACAATAGGTCCCCTCTCTGTATGGTCTCTGGTCTGTAAAATGTTTTTACTGTAGTATAGAGTGACAAACCTTTTACCCTATATAGAGATTAAAGTGAGATCAGCAGCTCTCTGTTCCATGTTCCAAATACATGGACCTAAAAGAAGAGCACATCAAAAATACCTGGGGGGTGGCAAGGAGGTTATTCAAAAAGAGGCTTACTGTTCGTGATCTCTCTGCCCAGCCACTGCACCTGTCACGCAAACAGGTGTGGCTGTCAAGGACTTATACGTTATGCAGGCAAGGCCTGATAAGCATGCCGAGGTACTAGTTTCCTCATTGGGTCTACTCTGCTGCTGGTTGAAAGCAGGCAGATTCTATAGAAGATAGCCAGGGTTCTATTGGCTATGAACCTGGCTACTGGCTGCTGTCAAACAGTAGCAGAGCTGACGAGGAACTAGTACCCCAGCATGCCCATCAGGCTCCACCCACTTGTAACATTACCGATTGTTAAGGACACTGTTGGCTACAGCCAACAGCTTCCTTAACAACTAGTGATGCTCACATTATGATTTTGCGATTAACGTACTACGGTCATTGTTTACCGTTGTGGATCCATAAAATTTGGACCACAAATTTGTGGCCTGGTGTCCATAACAAAGTGTAATTATATATA